AACACATCTTTGAATATAAATTGCATATTGTTTACATAATTGAAGTATGCTTTTTGAAGGATAGCTGAGTTTCAGTTCATACTTTGATGAGAAAACATTTAATTAGAAAAGTTTGTACTCATATGGAAACTAAATGAATTTCTCCCATTGATAATAGATAATGAGACAGAAGTAAGGAGGAGGAGGAGGAGGAGGAGGAAGAAATGACCTCATTCATGAAAGAAGCACATTGATTGCATCTTACTCAAGAACTCCCAAAATTTGGTGCTAAGAGCAATGGTCTCTGACAATACCATAACCAGGAATGTTGATGACACCAGTCTTCTTATCTCAAACTCTTTATCCTCATTCCACAGAAGCCTGGATCGTCTTGACTCTGTTGAGATCCTTTTGCCACCAAAATTTCCAAGCTGGGAGGAAGAATACAATCAAATCTCAGAAAACCTGAATGAGTCCAGTTGCATCGATCAGGTGAGATTCATTATAACAACAGCTATCCACAAAACACAACAAAAGCCATTTTCAAAGGAAGAAGTGAGACAAGAGAGAAGCTTTTTTTTTTCAAAGCAAAAAAAAAAAAGCCTGCTTTATAATAGACTTTTCCAGCTTTGATGGTCTCTAGATATGTGTTCAGCTCTATATATGTGTTCATGTGTGGATAGAGAATTATGGGAAGTGAATTCTACACATCTGGAGAGTTCTGAGTTGTGAAAGACTGCAAAAATGTTGATGGGAACCTAAAGCTGATTTTGCATTTCCAGTTGTGAAGTTGAATACTTTCATTTCCAATTTTTTTTTATTTAAATCTCTTCTCTTTTGCCTCACTTATTAATACTATACAAATAGCTGCAAGAGATTACTCCTGCAGGGTATATAGATGAGAATGCAACTATGGTGGCCTTCGGACGGCTCTTTCAACAGCCCCGATGGCCCGGTGGCATTTCCAGCAACCTTTTTGGTGGTCTCCGGCTTTGGCGGTCGTTTCGGCGGCCCTGGCGGCCCTGGCGGCCTCTTTGGGGGCCTTCTTGGTCGTTCCGGTCCCGATGGCGTTGGTGGCTCTCTCGGTGGCCTTCTGGCGGTTTTGGGGCCTCGCCGGCGGCTCTGGTGATCTCGGCGGCCTTTGCAGAGACCTCGGCCGGTTTTGGTTTCGGAAGACCGAAGAACGGCCAGATAACATCTTTCCCCTCTGTGCCATGGACTCCCGTTGCTGAACTATGTACTCTAAGACGGTCCTGCTGGTCCTGCGCGACTCACCCCTCGCGCAGGCCTGGCCCAGTAGCATTTCTAGGGCCTACCT